AGTTCAATGGAACAAGTTTTTTACTAATATTATATTTTTTTAAAAAAAAATTCTTTTATTCATTTTACTTTTATTAAAATTTTTTTTTTTTAAGAAATATATTTTTTTTATATTGAAAAAACACATTTCAATAATTTCTTTACAATTAGAAATATTATATTATATTTTTTTTAAAAACAAACTCTTATTAATAAAAAAATTATAAAATTAAAAGTAATTTTTTTTTTTTTTTTAACTTGTAAAAGGATATTAGATGCAAAACTTTATTAATGTATATATACGATACATGAATTACATCAAACATCTGTACAAATTGACATATGTAAATTAATGTTAACCTATCTATGATGCAAACTATTATTATCCTTATTACACTTGATATAATTTAGATTAGTACTAGTGTTGGATGGTCAATATCCTTCCAGAGCTGATATAAAATCTTGGGACTTGAGCAGACTACTTGAACTTACAAACTGTGAGTCTGTTATATTAATGATGTTTTGAAACAATTTGAGATCAGTTATAGAAGGTGATGATGGCTTTCCTTTTTTGTTGAGGGATCTAGTAGAGGATTTCATCCATTTGATTCCTAAGGCAATAGAGGTGTTAGCTGTTGCTAATCTCGGAATCCAGATTAAAGTGTATAGGAGTTCCAAGGTCTTATTCATTAGTTTGGTGTATTTATTGTTTGACATCTGAATCTTTGGATCTATAAAGCCACATGCCAACTCGTTGAGATGTGACTTCCTGCCAAAGCTAAGGTTTAATATTGTTTCTGTTGTTTTTGCTGTGATAGATGAATTAGATTTGCTCAAGAGTTTTTTGATTTTCACTTTCAATTTAGTTTCGATTACTGTATATGCTTCTTTGTTATTGATACACTTAAATACATGACTCTGGGACTCTGGCACAATTAAGCACCTGAGGCAAAAGTCATCTTTGTAGATATCCGGATATCTTTCGTGTAAGAGTTGCCTTGTGGGAAGAGTTCCACTTAAGATTTTACTTATAAAAGCCAGCAGGGATGAGCAGCTGAACTTGTCTTTTTTGATTAATATACTGTTTGCTTTGGCGAGGTGTTGTAAGGTCTTAGTGTCTAGACTGTGGTTCCATCTGCTTTTGATCGAGTGGCTGTTAATGATGTTGATAAGTCTAAAGATTTGTTGAGTCTTCTTGATCCAAGTTACTATACTGTATCCTCAATTGTCTTTAATCTTTGGGTTCGTTATATACTTGTATACTTCTATTATGTTGTTGATACTTATAATTGCGTCATTTTTTTGCAGATTAAGATTGCTTTCATGTTTGAACAGTTGCAGATTAATGTCCTTGGTGTCACATATTATGTTGATACAGTCTGTCAAATAACCGTAAGAGACCTTGACTTTTCGGTTAGAATACTTTGATGTGTTAAGACTTATTTTTATCGGCAGAATAGCTGCGATATATGTGTGATCTTTGGCAGCTGCTAATATTCCAATAAGAATTAATAGTATACTAATGGATTGGTTGCACTCGGAATAAATTGTTAACGAAGTATTGTTGGTTTTGACTAATATTTGATCGTCTTTCCTTTCCATACTAACAATTAAAAAGAGACAATTGTCATTAAGAATTTGTTTAAGGTCATCAACAATTTTTGTGTTAAGCTGTGATAAAGTATTGTCTTCACTAGATTCACTTATTTCGATGATCGGAGCAGAATTTGCTGGGGTCTTGGATTGAAGCTGGGCTTGGATCTCTTCAATAGCATTAGCTAGGTGATCTTGATTATTTTTCTGATAGGTCCATAATGATATTGCTTTACTTACTGGCACAAAGATTTTCTCTGCCATCCCATGATATAGACACTTTGTAAAGGCCTTGTCTGTATTGAGTTGAAAATGGGTTCCTTTAATTACTGGATGGTTTACATCTCAATTGCTTCTTGATTTGATAAATGTTATATGGTTATTATGAATAAAAGCCCAGAACTTGGCTTTGGTGTTTGATATACAAAGGGAGGATCCTTGTAAGTGTGCTGGTATAATGATCTTTGAGAACCATTCTGGAGTAGGTCCACTTTTAATGGGGCCCATGTGTGTATTAAACTCATGTCATGACAGTTTACGGTTTGATTGGAATACTAGCAAATCATTTAAAAATTTGATGTTGTTTCTGTTTAGACTGAGTGCTTGACGCGATAGATATTTGCCTTTAAAAGAAAAGTATAGACCTATTGAGTTACTCCTATTGGGATCTGAGAACTCACAATTTGATGGGCATATGGTAATTCTATATTTTTTACAAATTGTTGCTGCATGGGTGATCCAGCTTTTCTGAAACTCTTCAGGTGAATATAATGGGCAAAGCCAAATTGCACAACTTGCTTGTATTGACCTAATTTCCATGTTCAAAGCATCTTTGGTTTTGGATTGCATAACTTGATAATCAGAAGTTTTGATAGGGTGAGTTCTTGTCTGTCAAATAAATTAAGAAGCTTAAGACCGGTGTGCGAGTAAATGATTCTATCTGAAACAGTCTTCCCAATTTTAAATTTCTTTTTATTATGTTGTTAACTTTTGATTGAATTGTCAAAAGTTGTTATCTGGAGAGAAATATAGAGTGAAATGCATAATCTAATTTGCTTGGAATAATCCAGTCGGCGACTTGCTTAATGATTGATCCATTCTATTTTTGTTTGCCGCATGCTGTTATAATTTGGCTTAAATCCTTGATTAGCAACTGTTTGAATGGACTATTTCTTACATTCCCTGAAAAGTAATTTTCCAAATACCAGAGGGGTGTATTTTGCGGCAGGGGGCTTATTGCTGCATTTGTGACTATTAGACGAGTGTTTCTCTTACAGTTATTGTTTCCTAATGTCGTGATTAACATAGTCTTGTCTGAATTACATCTGATATTATTAAGAGTAAGGAAAGAGCAGAAAATATTAGTAGTCTCTTGAAGTTTAGACAACGATTGTGCCATCAATAACATGTCATCCAAATAGATAAGGATATTATAAGAAACTAATAGCTGTTTTTGGTGATTAAATATGGTTGATACTATAGGGTTATAAAAGATCGTCCATAAGAGAGGAGAGAGTGTTTCCCCTTGATCCAGACCTTTTGATATGGTGAATTTACTTGTTCTGCCAAAATTTGTTGCAATAGTTAACTCACGATTGTGCAACAAGCTATAAATTATATTGATTAATCTATTTGAAATTTTGACTCTTTGAAAGGCCGCCTTGAGGCTGTTGAGATTTACTGAGTCAAATGCTTTTGCAATATCAAATGAAGCAATCCAAAGTTTACTGTTAAGGTTTATTGCTGTATTCAGGATTGATGTGGTTATCAATAGTGGCTCCATTGTGCTTTGCTTCGTTAAGCCTGCAAAGCTGACCTTGGACAATATGTTGTGTTCTGACAGGGTTGTCGACAGTCTTGTATTTATAACTTTGGTAAATATTTTCCTTGTTGTTTCGATCAATGATATCGGGCGGGTATCTGCAATCTTACGTAACCATATTATCTTTTTTGGAAGAAGAACTATCGTCGAATTCTTCTATTTTGGAGGTACTTGTTCAGTATGTAAGATAGTGTTGTACAATTGTAGAAGTGCTTCCTTGAAGTTGTTGCCTAGGCAATTGATCATTTCATAGGTGATCCCTGATGTGCCCAGAGTTTTGTTTGCTGAAACATCGCTAAGTATAGTTAGAAGCTCACTAATCTCAATTTGATGCAGGGTCGATTCATAAATTTCTTCCGATATTATTTGGATTGGAGAGTAAATTTCTGCCTATTCCGTATTTGCCAGGTCAAAGTCACTATTTGCAAGGATTTTTTTGAAGTGGCTGTTTATTATTTTTTTGATTTCATCTGAATCGTCAGTTAGGTTTCCTTCATCGTCCTGAATAATGTTAAGGTTTAAAGAGGGTTTTAAGTCACCCAGGGCTTTTTTAATGAAGCCTTTTGGTCTTTCCCAGAACTTGGCGAGGTTATTTATGACGGCTTTATGGATCTGCTCTGTTTGTTGTTCTTTGATACTATGAAGTCTCTCCTTAATAAGTATTTTTCTAATATGATTGAGCGATTTGATAGTAACGGAATTATTATTGAAGAGTTTTTGGTGGATGGCTGCGATATTTTTTGATAATTTAGTTGATGCATTTTGATTGATCAGATTGTTTTTTTTCTTTGTGATTATTCTTTTAATTTGTTTAATCATTTTGAAATAGTATCCGCCTCCTTGCTCTTTTTTTTTTTGTAATATTGGTTTGATCAAGGGAAGGTTGCTTTTCGCTGCACTGACTACAATGTTGTTGAAGGTAGTCCAAGAGAGGTGGTTAATCATATTAATTCTGAAATCGACTTCTTCTTTAAAATTAGCTCTCTGCTGTTCTGTTGCTTGTTTCCAATCAAAGAGTTTGGTTTGGCAACTTGATGAGGCTAGTTTATACTCAAACCAATCGAAGATAACCTGAATTTGCATGTGATCTGTATCAATTGATGATGAAAGGGATGTTCTGGCATCCAGAACTTTTGCTCCTAAGTGACTGGTGCATCAGATTTGATCGATTCTTGAAGCGCTTGAATGTGTTACATGCATGAATTCTCTTTCTTTGTTTAATGTTTTGATAATGTCTATCCAGTCATACATGTAGTTATAAATTCTTCTTTTGACAACATCACTCTTTCCCAAACGCATACAGTTACCATAAAAGGAAACACAAAAGCGAAAGGAAAATGAGTGCAAACAGGAGTCTCAGAAGCTCCAAGCTGGTCGTCAGGCCCAACTACAACCTAGGAGACATGTCTAAAGGGAGAAACAACATGAAAAACAGAGAAACCACACCATATTCGGTCCCAAAACCCAGCAAAAAACAAGGGAAAACTGAAACAGAAGCAACACTCCAAACTCTGACACCACCGTCCAAGGTTGCAATCCAGCAGAAACAAGCAACAGCAATAGTGCAATGTGACAAAATTGGTCACGAAAGTACATGGAGCCAAATTATGGAAGAAGAAATGGGAGAAACATCCTCCAGCATGCAGACCCACCTTGAAGAGGAAACATATGGAAAGTCACAGCAAACCAGCGAACAGCAAGTCTTGGAGAGACATCAGACACCATCCTTCAGAGGACATGCCCGCATTGACGACAGTGACGAAGACATGTATGCATCAGACCCAGAAAACCATGACCATCAGCAGCACGAAAATGAATGGCAAACAGTCAACAAGGGGAAGGGAAAAGCGGAAAGGACAAGTAACAAGCCTAGACCCCGTTCTCTATTTGATCGCACGGTAAGGTATGGCAGACAAAGAAGCAAGATTGGAATTCCAGCGGTAGAAATCCCTGGCACTACGTTCTGGCAGAAAATACAATACATCACTAAAGCCTTAGAAGCACCCGAAGGCCTTCTTGCAATTCGCAAAGAGGGGAAAAAAGACGAAGAGTCGATCGTAGCCATCTTTGGAAATCAGCAAGCCGCAGAAAGGGCAAGCACAATCAAATTACCAGGTTTGGACAACAAGTTCATGGAACACATGCCTGACACCAACCCCTATACAAATAAGGAAAACAGTATCAGAGTATGGGACATCCCCCTGGACACCAAACTCATAGATGTACAACAAACCTTCACTAGATTTGGACCGGTCACTGACATCAGCATGAGCACCCAACGCATGTGGCAAACAGCCATAGTCACATTCCAAGAAAGAAGCACCAAGAAAAAACTAGTCAACATATGGAGTACCCCTTCAAAGCAGATTCAGTCAGAATCTTCGATGAACAATGGAGCCTTAAAGAAATGAAAGACAGGGGCAATATTGCTGCCAAATTAGTCAATCTTCCCCCAAATACAACAGCATTTGACCTGCGTGTCATCTGTCAACAAACCAAAGCCAAAACCTGTTACATCCCCAGAACAGGAAGTTATCGCCGAAAAAAAGTAGCAATCATCAGCTTCGAAAGCCAACAACACCTAGAGGAAGCAATGGCACAAGACTTCGTCCTGGGTGAAACACAAATCACGTGGGCCCGAATCGACACAAAGACCTGCGCCATATGTGACACGCATACACACTTAGCAGCTGACTGTCCAAGCAAACAAAGACGACAACAGTGGAAGGAATACAACCAAGAACAAGCAAACAAGTTTGGTAAACTGTACCAGAAATTCAAACCAGCGAAAATAACAAACATCAGAAGAACCATGGATACAGTCACAAAAGGAAAAAGAAACAGCAAGCCTGGATCATATGCAGCAGCTCTCAAAAAGTCAGAAGCACATACGGTACAAGATGCACAAGACCCAAGCAACTTGCAACAAGTTGTGAATGTTCTCAAACAACTTCAACAAGACATTAAAGAAATCAAAGAACAATTAATAGAAATGGACGAAAGAATCACAAACCTTGAATACTACGACGAAGATGGAGTGGGTGCTATGGAAGAAACAGAAGACACCCTGGATCAAAGTGCAGACGATAACTTCACAGAAGAAGCACGAAGAAACCAGACAGACAACAGAAACGAAATACAAGACCTCCAAGCGCAACAGAAACAAATTCACGTAACCATCCAACATACCAACCAAACGATGAACAACCTCATGAATACCATTCACAATCTCATCCCAGGAGACACAAACACCACGACCAATCTTAATTAATGGGAAACAACCCAAGCACCAGCGCAGAGGCGCACGAGATCACTGACAACTTGTCCAACTTTTATAACTCGATAAACAATTACCCAGAAGAAGACATACAATCACCCGAGGAGTCACAAGAATACAACACACATGACACCAATCGCACAGTAGACATAGACGCAACCAACAACAGTAACAACAACACTACAATCCAAGGAAGCGCGATAGAACTTCAGGAACAACTAAGAGAAGCACGAAACACACCACATACAACAACATACCCACAACACAATCCCACACTACAAAGGGACAAAGACAACAACGCACAAGCACAAAAACCAGAACCACAGCCATGGAAAGTCTGGAAAATAGCAACACACAACGTTAGAGGATTCAATGACTCTACCAAAAGAGCAATATGGTTAACATACTGCAAGGAGGAGGAAATAGATATTGCAATCATTACAGAGACGCAAGTTACATCAGAAGCATCCAAACACTGGAAGATGCAAGGTTATCACACCACATGGAGCAATGGGAAAAAGGGTGGTGGAATCATGATCATGATTAAAGAAGACATCGCAAACCACATTGGTAACATCGATACGTACCAAGGAAGAAGTATATGCATAGATCTCAATTACAAAAACCACAAACACATTAGCATAGTTGGAGTATATATACCAAGTAAGGGCAACCCAGAACACCGCGCCATAATCAAATGGATCCAAGACAAAATCTGGGCCAGACACCATAAAAACTGGTACATAATTACAGCAGGAGATTTCAATGCCCTACACAATCCAAAAATTGACAAAAGACCAGCGAGCAACAGTCAAAGACCAACGGCTCACATACTCCAGAACCTTATCCAACTAGATCATATCGATACCTTCCGAGAATCATGGCCAAACAGAACCCGGTTCACCTGGACAAACATGCGCACCACACAATCTCGAATCAACTACATCTGGATGTCGCCTAACCATAGTTAGAATCTGATTAACGCAGACATTGAATCCTCAAATATGTTGACCAATAGCGACCATGACATCGCCACTTGCAAAATCGAAATAACAGAAATCATATCACAACAACAGAAACTCAGAACTTCGAAGCACAGCAACATCTTCGATACAAAGAATACCAACAGCAAACAATGGGAAAAATACAAACAGCAGATAGAAGACGCAATCACAGAACAAAACAAAAAACATAACATGGAGAGATATATGGCCAACAAGACCTGGAATCTTACATAAGATGCTATATGCAAGGCAGCACACCAAAATATCAAGAAAAGGAAAAAACATCGAAAATGTACAGACCTAAATCCGCACCGGAAACATAACACACATGTATAAATTATTGAACTCAGAAAGCTCAACACTTGGGCTAGAAAATTCTTTATTCTAAACCAACGGACGAGCAATATTCAAAACAACATCACAAATATAATGGAAAAAATCAATCTATCAGAACAACATATCGGAACACCACCCTGGGAAGAAACAGACCCTCAATCAGAAAGTATCAAAAGGTGGATAAAAGGGATCAAGCAAACATACAACATCACCAGAAAAGTGTTAATGGAAAAAGATCGCCATACCACAAATGAACAAATCAAAAAACATATCGAAAATCGAATCACGAATTTCTCAGACAACAAACGGAAAATGATAAACTCCATCCTAGGCAGAACTCCAAGCCACATCACAATGAACAAAATCATTATCAAAGAGCCAGAACTCATGGTTACCACAGACCCAAGAGAAATTATCAATCTTGTGGAACAACACTACCGTTAAAACGAGACAACAAAGGGAAGTATAAAACAGCCAGAATGGAGAGTATGGGAACAAGAATACAGACCGAAAACAGAAATTTTAGAAAGCTGGTACAAACAAGCAAACTCTATCATCGAACCATTTGAAGTCCGCACCACGATAAAGAAAATGTCCAACGACTCAGCACCAGGAAAATCAGGGATTAA